GTGGCTACTAATTTCTTATAGAATAAAATATAAACTCTTCTGATTAGCATGTAAAGCCCTTTACAACTATTCCAGAGTCCCTTTACAGTATATTCCTCTCCTTGGGCACTTTACATCCCAATCAAACCAGTGCATTTGCTATACCCCATAAACTACATTCTATCCCTCACCTCTGGGCCTTTGTACAGGCTGCCCCCCATGCCTAGAATGCCATCCCTCCTCACCTCTGACTCTTAGTGGTCATTAAAGACACTCCCTAGTGTCTTCAAAGCTCAACTCAAGGGCCGCCTCCAACATGTTGTTATTATTCAGTTGTGTCTGACTCTTTGCGACCCTGTTTGAGATTTTCTTGGCCAAGATACTAAAGTGGCTTGCCGTTTCCTTCTCCAGATCATTTTACAAAGGGGGGAACTGAGGCAAACACGGTTAAGTGACTTGCCTAGGGTCACTCAGCTAGTAAGTGTCTGAGGCCAGATTTGAGCTCAGACCTTCCTGACGCCAGGCCCAGCAAGTGCTCTATCCACTGTGCCACCTAGCTGCCCATCTTCAACATGAGGTCTATATTATCCCCTCTCTCCTTCATTCCAGCAGCTACGTTATATTTACTTTTAATATCTTTTATATTCATTTATTCATGTCACATGTTGTTTCTCTCAAGAAGAATGCTCTCCTTTAAAGCAGGGGCCCTTTCAATCTTGTCTTTGGCTCTCCAGTTCCTAGGTCTATGCCTCACATATAATATGCACTTTACAATTCCTTGTTGAATGAATGAATGAATGAGACAGCTTGACATAATTGATAGAATGCTAGATTTAGACATTAGAAAATCTGAGTTCAAATGATACTTCTGACTCTTACCAGCTATCAGTAAACTACTTTATCTCTCAAAGTTTTGGTTTCTTCATCTGTAAAAGGAGAAAAATAAAATCCATACCCTTTATCTCATAGGGATATTGTAAGGCTTAAATGAGGTAAAGTTTGGAAAACACTATATGCCAGTTACTATTACACAGTTTTACACAGCATTTGCTCATGCCTATGATGATCTAAATATATCTTAGGATCGTGGACTTTTAGAACTGGGTGGAGCCTCAGAAATCCAGTAGCCTACTTCCTAAACATTACTGAAGAGGAAATAGACTCCAAGAGGTTGAATGACTAACACAAGGTCACATAGCTAGTTAGCAGCAAAATGCCAATTAGCAGCCAGGTCTCCTGATTCCTGGGCCAGGGCTCTTTCTATTATACTACACTGACTTCTTCCATCCAGTTCATTTCTGAATGCTGGAAGGACTTCAGGTTTTCCAAACACATGAAATATTATTGATGCACAGCATTCCCCTGAAAGGCATCTTTAAATACCTGGCTGATGCTCTGGGACCAAATGATGCAGTTTCTTTCCCCTCAGCATCTGTACTCCACAACCCGCTGGCCTAGGAACTGGTTCCAATGTTCACTGGAGGCTAAAGCCCAAAGCATGTATTCTGCTGAAGGCAAGGCACAATTAGCTGTTTCTGCACTAAAAGATACAACCAGGAAATCCATAAATTTCATAGGCTCATAAAGATTTATCATTGAAAGTGTTGAGCTCGGCAGAATCCAAAGTGTTGAACTTCTTTCTGTTCACTAATGTCAATCTCCCCCATCTCTTTTTTCTTTTGGCTGGGAGTTGGGGGGACAAATGTCACATGAAATGCATCTTTTATGAGAGAAGGAAAAAGTTAAAATAGTGAATTTATGGAATTTGTCTAGACAAGCACAGAACTCTAGGCTCCCTGATATGTCCATGAAAATGTTAATGGATGTGGCGTCAGCAGATTCCCTGACTTTCTCATTTATCTCTTTTTAGTGCAAAGAGTAAAGCAGTAGATTTCCTTTGACAAGGTTAATGCTATAAAGATTTAAAACAAGTCCTACCTTTCATACATATGATATCATGCACTGTGCTCATGGGTAATTATGAAATATGCTATGAGTTTCCTCACCACCCAAATGAGGAGGGAAGGAAAGATTAGTGTTAGGGACTGTTGTAGAATGAAACTTCATTTCTAGCAGGCTTATATAAAAGCTTTTCACAGCAACTCCTTTTGTGTCTGGGGACAACCCTATCCTTACCTCAGTGGTCTCTTCCTTGGAAGCCTACCCAGGAATATAGTGTCATAATATCCATAATAACAATTTTCATTTCTATAGGGTATTAAAGCTTATAAATTCCTTTATATTCATAATAGCCTAGGCAGGTATAAGAAAGAAAGGAAGAGTATTATGGAAGATTTTGCCTCATGTTGCTGAGGCAGATAATATAAATAGACTGAAGTACACTCAAGGCTCTATGGAGAAAGTGGTTGATTCAGTTGTGGCCATGCTACATAGATGCAGCAGGGGAAAGCAAGAGTAAGAGAGAGAAGAAGGGAGAAGCAGAAAAAAGGAGGCGGGGAAGGAAAGGAAGAAAGGTAGAAGAGGGGAAGAGGGGGGAGTAAGAAGGGGGAAGAAAGAATGAGAGGAAGAGAGGGAGAGAGTATATTACCATCACCACCACTAACACCACTAGTATTAAGTGACAGAGTCAGGATTCAAACCCAAGTCCACCAGCTGCAAATCCATGACTCTTCCACTGCATCATGTTGTTTCCTTCTCTTACCTGCCTCAGACAAATGCTCATTGGATTAAATTGGAGTTGATTGAATTGGACAACCCCAGGATTTTTATATCAAATTAATAAATTGCTTAGGACAGGAATATTTTAGCTTTCTGCATGGTGTTGTGTGCTCAGAATTGCAATATGTCAATAACAATCACTTGAAAGGGATTTATGTAGTCTGTTCTTAAGGGGATTATGTCTGTGATGAGAACACACAAAGTCTTCCAGATTCTAGAAATTCCATAGTTGTCTCTCTTCTCTCAGCCCATCTATTAAGAGACACTTCTTGATCCCCTTCCAAGTTCACCTTGGTGACACCACCACCCAAGCTTGCACTTGGAGAGGAAGCTATGATCAAATGTCTCTGAAGCTCCCTCTCACAAGATGCATCCCCTGCTGAGAAAACAAATTGTTTTCCTTAAGAAGAACAATTTACACATATGGCATCTAATGTTTCCGAGGGTCACTTGGGTTCAGTCAATGACCATAAAAATGATCAAAGGAAGTTGCCCTTCCACCATAGGAGAGAACTCCAGTTCATGAGAAAGCTTCCCCTGTCTCACCAGGCTTCAAGAGCTATATTACACCTATTTCAGTCATGACATTTTCAGCTTAAACAACATTTCCAATCTGTGTGGATAGGACAAAATTGAAAAAAGCTAACAGAAGTATCCAGTTTTCATGAACTGCAGGCACTGAATAGCCTGAGAAAGCATAGAAAAAATTCTCCTATTTCCTCCAACGGGATTGGCTTAGAAATACGAAGGAGATAGTTCTGATGATAAAAGAATGGGAACAAAATTTAGAGCTGGAAGGGACCTAAGAAATAATCAGATCTAAGTCCTTTATTTTACACAGGAGGAAACTGAGGCCCAGAGAGATGAGATTATGTGCTCAGAGTCACACATCTTAGGAAAGGGGTTTATAACCTGGGGATCATGGATGGGGGGAAATATTACATCTTTATTTCTACTATTCTCTAATTGAAATTTAGAATTTCCTTCAAATATTTAAAAGCATTCTCAAAGGTGGTTCATAGGTTTTACCAGCCTACTAAAGGGGTCTATGACACAAAAAAAGTTAAGAACTTTGAAAGCAGTAGTGTCAGGATTTGAACCTAAGTCCCAAATCTGCTACACTATTGATTAATTTCCTTAATATAGCCTAACAATAGTAAAGTAAAAAGGATAAAATGAATCATTTCAATTACACTAAGTTAAAAGGGTTTTATGCAAATAAAACAAATATAGCCAAGATTGGAAAGAAAGCAGAAAATTGGGAAGGGGGAGTTTTATAGATTTTATCAATTTAAAGTCTCATATCTAAAATATATAAAGAACTTTGTCAAATCTATAAGAATATGAGTCATTCCCCAATTGATAAATGGTCAAAGGATATGAACAGGAAGTTTTCCAAAGAAGAAATTATCTAAATCATTATTGAATGGAGAAATGCAAATTAAAACAACCTTCAGATATCATTTTACAACTACCAGATGGGCTAAAATGATAGAAGGGGAAAGTGACAAATGTTGGAGAAGATGTGGATAAACTGGGGCACTAATTCACTGTTGGTAGAATTGTGAAATGATTCAACCATTTTGGAGAGCAATTTGAAATTATGCCCAAAGAGCTATAAAACCACTTATATCCTTTGACCCAGCTTTACCACTTTTTTTGACCACTTTCTGACCACTGCTTGATCTATTTCCAAAAATGATTAGGGAAAAAGGAAAAGAAACTATATGTTCTTTTATAGCAGCTGTCTTTGTGGTGGCAAAGAACTGGAAATTGCAGGGATGCCCATCAATTGAGGAATGGCTGAAGAAGTTACAGCATATGATTATGATGCAATACTACCGTCCTATAAGAAATAATGAACTCAATGATTTTAGAAAAACATGGAAAGACTTGCATGAAATAATGAAGAGCAAAATGAATAGAACCAAGAGAACACTTATACAGTAATAGTAATACTGTTTTAACAATGACTTTGAGCAAAAAAGTTATTTTTCTATTATAAATACCCAGATTAACTATAAAGGACATATGAAGAAAGAGGCATCCAGAGAAAGAACTGATAAATAGAAGTATGCAGAGAATAATTTTACAAATATATACCTATTTGTGTCTAATGGTAGCCATCTCTATGGCAGGGGAGGAGGGAAGGAAGGGAAAAAAAGGAAAAAAAGAAATTTACATGATAATCTTGTTATATATTTGAAAGGAATAGAAAGTTGTGCATAGCAGATTTGCAGTTTCATGTGCAATCATCTTTTTTTATTGTACTATGCTATAGAAATGCTTGTTTTATTCCATAAATTAAAAATAAAATTTTAAAAATTTATGATTCTTCACAGGCTTGGGAGGAGCCCTGGAGGCAATTTCATTCAAGCACCCTACCTTCTCAATCACCCTGGAAGCCAAGATGACTAGCAGCAATGGAAGGTCTTGTCTAGGTGACTGGCTTTGATATAGCCTCCAATAAAACCCACTGGAATTTGTAAAAAGAAGAAGAAAGAGAAGGAAAAGCAGAAAATATCCTCAGTAACTATCGATACTATGTTCTTGTGTCCTACCAATAATTATAATAGTTGACATGGTATATATCAATCTAAGGCTTCCAGAATGTTTTATGTAGATTATTTCATTAGTTCCTCATCACAATCCTGTGAAATCGATATAACAGGTGTTATTATTCCCATTTTTCAGATGAAGAACCTGAGTCTCAGATTAAGGGGAACATGGGTAGCAAATTCCAGAAGTGGGATTAGAATTATATCAATCAACAAGTTAATTGCCCTTCATTGCAGAGCTGGGGAACTCTGGACATGGAACATCATATATTCTGTTAGACATGGTTAATATTTTGCTGGCTTTGCAGAATTGCCTTTTCTCTTTCTGTTTAATCTGTGTCACAAAGGAAGATTCCCAAGAAGGAGGAATATATTCAGAAATTAATGTGACATAAAAGTTTTTTGTTGTTTTTCAGTCATATCCAACTCTTTGTGACCCCATTTTCTTGGCAAAGATACTGGAGTAGTTTGTCATTTCCTTCTCCAGATAATTTTACTTATGAGGAAACTGAGGCATATAAAGTTAAGTGACTTGCCCAGGGTCACCCAGCTAGTAAGTATCTGAGGTCAGATTTGAACTCAGATCTTCCAGGCCCAGCACTTCATCTACGGCACTTAGCTGTCAACATAAAAACACCTGTCAACATTAAAAAAAAAAATCAATATTTAAAAATAACATAGCTATACAAAATAATATGATATTAAGTCATTTGACTTCTCTAAGCCTCAGTTTCCTTATTTGCACAGGGAGAATAATACTTACTGAGCCAGTGGAAATAAGTTTGACTAATACCACCACAGGTCCCAAAGATACCTGAATACTAGGGCTTAATAAACCTGAGACTGGGCATTATCCTCCCCACAGCTGCTTGCTTGCAGGATACAGTTAAGTTTCCTGGGCTCCTGCCTTTCATTCCTCATTCTTTATTAGGCAATTCAGAAAATACCTTCATTAGTGGTCCATATTTACCTACCACCTTCCCCCATGAACAATGGAGCAGTCTCCTATTAATACCACATTTTTTTTTGTTTGGTTTGGGAGTTTGGGGAGGGGGTTGTTTTGGTTGTTTTTTTGTTTATGTTTGTTATTTTTTTTGTTTTTGTCTAACTCTCAGTATAAGTTGAGCCTGAGGAACCATGGGCTTTCAACTGGAGTGTGAGTATGATTGTATATCTAAAGCCACTCCACTATGTGCTGCCTGCTGACTCCAGGCAATGGAGGCTGCACACCTAGACAGTTCTATGTGAGCATCTATTCTCCTACCCTTGGAAATAGGAATACAATTTTATTAACTGCTATCCCTGTGTGGAGATGTTATTCTTCATCTGAACCACTCCCTCTCCATTTGCACTACATACTATCTCATAAGGTTGTTGTAAGGAAATCTCTTTATAAACTTTAAAGCGCTAAGGAAATGTGAACTACTGAGAATGTGAGATAGTGAGATAAATGTGAGACATGAAATTCGTTACCATCATGAAGCAGAATCCCAGTGGATGCCTGCTAGGATTAAAAACGGTGGCAGGAGGGGGGAACAGAAGGAGAATGGTAATAACAGAAAGTTGAATTTAATCACAAGTATTCATTTAAATTAAGAGCCCCCAAGTAAAATTTTGCCAAAGGACATTCTTACAAATCACTTCTATCAGGAAAGATTTTTGTTATGCACTTGAAGTGGACCACTCACATTTTTAAAAAAGAAAAAAAAGTTTTGTTAATGCCTTTTGTTTTTTTATATCACTATAACTTGCCAATAACCAGTGCCATATTCCATTCATAGAATCCCACCTGAAAACAAAGCAAAATCATTCTGCAGAACCCATCGGGACACTGATTGCCTCTGCCAGTGTATGCAACATACCATTCCTAGTCTACCACCTCTCTAGCAAGAGTATGAAGTGTGTTTCATTAGCAGTTTTCTGGAGCCAAGACTAGTCAAGGCATTTAATCTGAATTCTGATGTATTTAAGCCTTATATTAATGTACATTGTTGTAATTGTGGTATACATTGTTCCCTTGGTCCTACTTTCTTCACTCAGAATCGGTTCACACAAGTCTTCTCATGTTTCTCTGAATTCCTCAGATCCATCCTTTCTCATAATAAATAATAACCCATTACAAAGTGTGTTCAGCTATTCCCCAATCAATGGGAATCCATTTTGTTTGAAGTTTTTTGTTTGTTTTTTTATGGCTCCCATCTTTCTATTGATCACCAAAGAGCTACACTTTTGATTTTAAGAGTATTTCATACCCCCTAGATACAGGACTCTCTGCTGGATTCTGTAAAACTCAGTGTAACAGAACTTGACCAGATTATGTGCAAAGATCCTCTGCCAGTTACATTTCCATGACTTAGTGTTGTGTGAGCTTGAGGACTGAGATGATGGAAACAGTCCCTTTATATGCCAATGAGCAGGAAAAATCATTGACTCAGTCAGCCTTCAAAAGAGTAGTGACTCCACCCTTATGGCTTCTTCCTCCCTCCAGGTGTCTTTATCTAATTCTAGGCCTTCCCAAGAGGGGTGGGAAAGGGCCAGCAGAAATGATGACCTACTGAGTATATTGTAGCTAATGCACATAGTATGTCTAGTCAGCCTGAGCCTAGGCTTCAGGCTGTATCTTTTGTGTGTGTTCTTTCATGATCTCAGGTGAACTAACATCCAACCAGATGGATATGTTCAGGCAAGGGTTTGGAAGATCAAAAGAAAAAAGAAGCCATGGACCTTTGTAATATCTAACTAATCATCTGGTCTTCCTGCTCAGTAGCCAATAAGAGGATTGCTTTGTTATCTCGAAACTCAAGGGCCTACAACACATGACCACAAGCAGCAGGTTTCTTCATTTCCAAGCCTTGACAGCCCTGAATCATATACATTTGTTCTGCCAGAAGTAGGCAGAGGCCCCACTACTATTACATATGCAAAGTACCATTACCCAAATAAGACCTTAAATTTTAAGACATTAATTACACTAAGTAGGGAAGTTCCACCTCTCTATTATGTGAACTTATCTTGCTAGACAATAGACACCTTGAATGGTAAAAGAGGCATTTTTTTAACATTCAGTCACCCCTTTGAATTGTAGTTCAGGAGGAGAAGATAAGCACTTCTTAAAAGGTTCTGTAATCTGACATTCTCCTCATCCCATCAGCAGAATTGTCCCAAGTGCAGGAGATTGGATTCTACTGGGTCAGGGCAGCCCTACTTTGCTTCTGGTCACAAGCATCTGGACATCACAATGAGGACAGCAGATGATAAAATAGAGAGTTTCATGAGCTGATGCAGGTTGGAAGGAAGAAAAACAAAGAAAGAGAGAGAGAGAAAGGAAGGAAGGAAGGAAGGAAGGAAGGAAGGAAGGAAGGAAGGAAGGAAGGAAGGAAGGAAGGAAGGAAGGAAGGAAGGAAGGAAGGAAGGAAGGAAGGAAGGAATGGAGGGAGGGAGGAAAAAAGTAAGGAAGAGAGAGAGACAGAGAGAGAGAGAGAAGAAAAAAAAAGAACTATGAGTTTAAATCCTTCCACACACAACTTGTAGGCCCAGTTTTAGGATATCACCTCCAAAGGTGTCTTTGGTGAATAAATGAATGAATGAGCATTTATTAAGCACTTATTATGTGCCAACCACTGTGCTAAAGGCTGGGCATAAAAACAGGGGGAAAAAACAAGACAGTCTTTTCTCTTAAAGAACATACCCTCTAAGGGGGGGGGGCGGTAATACACATGTAAGAGTACCTCTAAATGCAAAAGGTAAGGTCCAGAAGTCCTTAGAGTACGTCAGGAAGTTAGATGAAGGTGCCCAGAGGGCTAGAGGTTACATCAGCCAGGCAGAAAATAAGGTTTATAGGACTTTAAGGATGCAGTGGCAGAACAAATAGTAAGACCTGATCTTACATCATACTGGAATATGTCCCGGCTCATCCAAGTAAGATAAATAGCCTTGTCACTCTTTCTGTCTGACCAGCTCATAGGGTCTGAGAAGCCTGGGGGTCATTAAGCAAGGGATGAAGGGGAAGGGAGGGGAAGAGAGAGAGCCTCTGCTATCATCCTTAGTTAAAAGCTATGATCCTCTAAGAGTTCATAGACAAGAGTTGGGAGACCTAAGTTCTGATACTTGTCCATAGGATCATAGGATCATACATGCAAAGCTAGAAGGCACCTTAGAGGATAGATAATCGATCCTCTCATTTTACAGATGAGAAAAATGAGACTGAAAAAGGTTAAGTGACTCATCCAAAGCCACACAGCTAGTAAGTAGCAATATCAGGATTTGAACACAGATCCTCTGATGCCAAATTCAGCATACTTTCCACCATATTTCTCTTAACCTGGGATGATAACAGTGACTCATTGGTCACTTCTGAAGGGGATTATAGAGGGAAATATTTTTCTTATATAAGTTGCACTAAATGGCACCCTTCTGAATCTAAGATTCTATGAATTTTAAAGCAGGAAATCACCTTAGAGATCAACTAATTTCATTTAATAATAACATTATGGAGGAGGAGGGAGGTTCCCATATAGCATAATTTGCCCTAGCCAGAAATCCTCTATAAGTGGTGCTGTGTTTCACATCCCCTTCCTTTCTCTATTTTTTTTTCTGGTTTGCATAGGTCGGTGATATTTTATTGCAATGAACTATGTGACTTTAAACAAGTCTCTTCTCTCTGGAAATTCTGCTGCCTCCTCTATAAATGAGGGGATTAAGTCAGATGATCTATGAGGTCCCTTCTAGTTCCAAAGCTATGATCCCATGAGAGTTCATAGCCAAGACATGGGAAACCTAAATTCTTGTACTAACTAGCTGTATGAACTTACATAAAACACTTCACTGCCTTGTACCTAAATGTTCTTCTCTCATGTCAAATGGGGGTTTTCAATAATTGTACTACCTACCCTCTAGGGTCGCTAAGACAATATTTGCCTCAATACTATGTTTTCTGTACTGCCTATGATTTGGTTTGTGTGGGTATTCTCTCTACCAGTTCAGGTAGCAAACCTTCTACTATTTAGTAGATGGTCTCTCTGTGACAGTTTCTATAGC